AAGTTTTAAAAGAAACGAAGACATGCTCAATTTCAGGCGGTGATTTGTTTGATAAGACACGCAAGAGGATAAGTTGTCCCCGTGCTTGAGCGGTACGCTATGAAGACGTACGGGAAAGTGAAAGTAAAGCTCCACTCATTCCAAATCTCGCCATCAGAAGGGCGTCACTGATCGGCTCCATACTCTGGAGACAGAGCGTCTAGCAGACGGCTGAGAGGGCCCCAAAATCGGTCTGCACGCGACGGCGAGAAGACAGATCTCTGTCCTTGCCAGAGACTATGAAGCCAGGTCATCCATTCCTTGGAATGCGATTTGCTGGCTCAGCTATCCCTGTTGAAACTCTCTCTCGCACATACGCACATACGCACGCATACACGCGTGCCTTGTATGCAGCAGGCAATTGAATGAACTAAATCAAGAAAGAAATGGCCAAGACGAACCTTGTCAATATGTGTACTAACAAGTCTAATAATAGTGACAGATTATAATCTGTCACTATTATTAGACTTGTTAGTACACATATTGACAAGGTTCGTCTTGGCCATTTCTTTCTTGATTTAGTTCATTCAATTGCCTGCTGCATACAAGGCATATAATTATATGAGATCATCGTAATGGCGACAAGTCGTGATCCTGAAAGGCAAGGGACATAGACAAGATATCACTTATATTCTCTCGTATAAAATATGTTGGGGAAGAACAGCTGAACAAAATATAACATAAACTAAAATTGGATATGGTTTGGTGAAGGAGCGGAGGATCTGGCTCAGGATATGGACCAATGGAGGGCTCTTCTGAACACGGTCTTCGGATTCCATGAAATGCTGGGAAGTTCTTGAGGAGCTGCACAATTGGCGGTTTCTCAAAAAGGGCTCAGCTCCTTGAATGAATGAAGGATCCGAGTGTGAATGCTTCAAGAGATGCAGAATGACGTGGTCGGTTAGGAACGGTCTGTGTCTTCTGTGCAGATGCAGAAGGACGTGGTCGGTTAGGAACGGTCTGCGGCTTCTGTGCAGATGTAGAAGGACGTGGTCGGTTAGGAACGGTTCGCGTCTTCTGTGCAGATGTAGAAGGACGTGGTCGGTTAGGAACGGTCTCTGTCTTCTGTGCAGATTTAGAAGGACGTGGTCGGTTAGGAACGGTCTGTGGCTTCTGTGCAGATGCAGAAGGACGTGGTCGGTTAGGAACGGTCTGTGTCTTCTGTGCAGATGTAGAAGGACGTGGTCGGTTAGGAACGGTCTGTGTCTTCTGTGCAGATGTAGAAGGACGCTAACAGTAACGGTCTGTGCCCCTGTGCAGTGAGATGGAAGATGTGAGAGCATTATTTTTGGTTGCTGATATAGTTAGAAATGCAAACAAATTTTTTAATTATCAACTTAAGAAGAACTTCCTGCTTAAATCGTAGGAAACCGCATATCTTTCAAGGCGAGGGAATAATGATAGAGATAGATGAGCAAAATAAATAACTTTTATTATCAGTAATGGTAGGATAATGAAATAGGAAGGCAGCTGTATCATATATATGTACGTATTACTGACATGGGTGTGAGACTTTGTCACTCACATTAAAGGGAAAACATATACTGAGAAAACAGAGCGCTGATAAGAATATGTGGATCCAAGAGCGAGAAAGTAACCGGAGGCTGGAGTTCGTTGCACTCGTACAAAATCCACTAGTTACGAAACGAACATTTCTGGTATCACACTACCTATTCAAAGCTTACATTTCTTTTTAATTCCTTAAAATTTGGCCATATTTTAATAATGTTTCCCATATAAGTTATGGATCTTAACGCGACTGTGAGGCCGCTCCATAGCTCAAGCGGTTAGTCGTTGTCTTCCCATCACGGCGGCCCGGGTTCGATCCCGGGTCTGATCAAGTGGGATTTGTTGTGGACAAAGTGGCGCTGAGGCAGGTTTTCTCCGAGTACTTCGGTTTCCCTGCCAATCTTCATTCCACCAATTGCTTCACAATCACCCTCACCTATCATCTGGGGCTGGTACAACAGGCCAGAAGTGGCCCCAGGATAAGGGCCTTAGTCCCACCCCACTAGCAATAAAAAAATGATAGCGAGACTGTAATTTTCTATGTAGATTTTTGTATTTTGAACCATGTTTATGAAACTGATAAAGTTTGATCTGAGCTTAATGTACAGTTTGAGTTATACTGGAACGATTGCGAGACAAATAAATTTGAAGAGAACAATCTTCTGGGTTGTTACTCAGTGTAATTAGGTAGATATTCATTAAGCCTTTCGGAGAAACGTATCGCCTTCTTCAGGGAAGAGTAAGGCAAGCAATAAACCAGCAATAAGTCGGGCAAACCTAGATGATTGTACTTTCTGTAGTCACCGCATTGAAAACCTCAACTGCAATTTTCATACAGATTCTAGTGTAGCCCCTTAATTCCAAGTACAATCGAAGTTTGATGAGTAGTTTCGGAAATAGAACATTCGAATTATTAACACAGAGAAGGATCGACGGACAGTCATTGCCTGTCCATTATGTGTTCACTGCAAATAAGTCATAATAAATTCAGACACGAAGGAAGAGCAATAGATTTGACTGGAGAATATGGTTTAGAAGCATAATTTTTGGATTAAATTGTTCAGAGCCAAGATATAAAATCTTATCACTATGTTCATAGAGTCTGCTACTAATCCATAACCACAGACAATCAGAACGAAGCTAAGAGCTTTGTCACGAAACACCTTAAAATTAAATGACAAAGCTAAAATATACAATTTATATATGACATAGAATATGTGAAAAGTGGAGCACAACATACAGTAACTGCATCAGTTAAAACTTTCAACAGTCGCGATTTCTCTCAACAGAAGGTAGTGTAATCAGATTTCATTTACCTAATTTCTTTCTTCTCCAGCATTTCTTCAAGACATTACGGAGGCAAACTCAGCAAACCTGTATGTGTAGACGGTGACTTGCTTGTTTCAAACAAAACAGGGCAGTCGGAAGCCTTCTCAATGCGATACACTAAACAAGTGATGTTCTGTTCCATGTGAGGCAAATTCTTTGAATCTCCGGCTAACTTGAGATCATGAGCAGCCCACCAAATGGCACACACGTGTGTAATGCCATCACGTGATACTTTCTAATAAATTGTTTAAAAATGTCTGGGATTGCGTAGAAGGTACAGCGACTGGCTACGGCTGGTCGACCGAGGGCTTGGAGTTCGAGTCCCGGTAGGGTCAAGAATTTTCACTTCCCCATGTCGTCCAGACCGGCTCTGGGGCCCAACCAGTCACCTATCCAATGGGTACCGGTGGCTCTTTCCCCGGGAGTAAAGAGGCAGGGGCGTGAAGCTGACCACTCACTTCCAACCAGTGCCGAGGTCAAGAAAATATGGACCTATACATCCACTCCCCAGTACGCCTTCATGGCGTAGTGCTTAATTAGTTAAGGATAGAGACTTTACCTTTTTATAGCAATTATTTTGGAAACACGATAACAAAAATGGCATTCATGTTGAACCTCGGCACTAGTTGGAGGTGAGTGGTCAGTTTCACGCCCCGGCCGCTTCACCCCCGGGAAAGAGCCCCGGTACCCACTGTATAGGAGGTTGGGTGTACCCCAGAGCCGGTCTGGACGACATGTAGAAGTGAACATTCTTGACCCTACCGGGACTCGAATTGCGACCTCAGGGTCATCCAGCCCGTAGCCAGTCGCTGTACCGACTGCGCTATATACAATAAATGTGGTGATTTATGATCGATTCTTTATGCATGCTATTTTTGCGAGAATGCTTCGATGAATCATTCGGTAGATACAGGACTGGGCAGAAATAGAGACAACGCAGGGGAAGTTAACAGTACGAAAGCTTATATAACAAATTATTAGATTTCCTGATGAATTCTCAACGGATGTTACACAAATGTTATTTTAATTCTCTTTGTGTATATCTGAATATACGGATCACAGTGAGAGTACAGAATTGCTAAAATGAAGTTAAACATGAGTCTAGTAAAAAAACTGATATAACAGGGATATGTGAAATAAATATATGCATGCACGCGCAACCCTACAGACGCACTACGCATTTCCACAGAGTGGGAAGTTGTTGCTGATTGTTAAACTAGCAACTAGTCTGTAGCAGGCGTAATGGAAGGTAGAACGAGGATGTTATAAGTGAATATGGGCACAGTGGTTCGAAGTTTTGCGAGAATATTCTAGTAGGGCCATAAGATTTCTTTTAATTGCCTGTATTAAGAAGTCATGATATTTGGGAGGATAGGTCTGTCTGTCTTAGTCTTCTGTGGAACCCGTTAACTGAAGTTAGACCTGATCACTATATCCAACTACGTGAAGACGAACACACACACAAAAAAAAAACACTCCCAGGGGGAAAATCCAAGCATATCTGTCATCAGCGCAGGAATAACGAAAACAGAATATAGAAAATTTACACTCAATAGACACAAAGATAATGTAATATTGCATGTTAATCCTTAAGGCACAGTGGTTACTATTGTGTACCACCTGCTTTAACATTAAAAAGCCTCACATTCTGCCTCACACAGTGTACTTACGGATTTCATACGATTCTCAGAACAAACAGAAATTATTTCCCTAAGCAGGATCAACCAAGAAAGCAGTCTTCTGGGATTTGGCACCGTGTATATGTGGTGTTAACCGACGTTTCGGAGGAACGTATCGCCTCCATCTTCAGGGTAGAAGAAAAAATAAATCTGCAAGCGAAGAGACAGTGAGAACCGGTAAAAGCAGACACAGTCTGCTACGTTCCTCCGAAACGTCGGTTAACACCACATATACACGGTGCCAAATCCCAGAAGACTGCTTTCTTCATAGTCACCGCCGTGAAAGCCTCAAATCTTACAGGATCAACCAAGTTGGCATTTGGAATGAGGACGTAATATATTTTTGTGAAGCAGAAACTGAATGTTAACATTTTATTTAGACGAACTCCATAGTTCAAAGGGTTAATTATAGCCAGTTCTTGAACTAGTGTTCACATTGCTTACCTGAGTTCTTAGTTCCTCGTTCTCTATCAGTCGGGTAAATGCAATAAATGAATGTTTGTCCGAAGCAATCCATATTCCAACGCCAAGAACCACGGCTCCAGCCACCTGCAATAATAAAATAATGTGTTACTGTAGTCTGCTGGAGATAAAAAATTCAGATGTAATCACACTGTTCTTTCAAAATTTACAAACGAAAAATTGAAGAATAAATCGTATTATACGGATTTTAAATCATCATCACAAAGATAACTGATATCGTGGTGCTATGGTAAACTGTTTCTACCCCATTAACATACACAGTGTGTCAGGGTTCTGTTAGGACTGTGTTCATTAAGAATACAAGACGTGAATTATTTTCAAAATTTCACTGCTTTTATTCAAAATAGTCGCCTTCTGAATCAATACATAGCTGGAATCGATTGAAAAGTTTTCGAAAACAGTCACTGTACTCCTTTTGTGGAATCGCATTTAAAACTGCGGTACATTCCCTTTGGATGTCCTGGATGATGTCGTGACGGTCTCCTTTCATCGCTATCTTAACTTTTGGGAAAAAACAGAAATCTGCTGGAGCCAAATCTGGCGAATACGGAGGATGATCAAGGACTGTGTTCCCTTTTCTGGCCAAAAAAAATCGCGCACGACTGTGAAGACTGGAATAGAAGAAAACGGTTAGCAATGTCTTTACTCGACTCTTTTGCATGCGCACTTTCTTTGGTTTCGGCTTCTTTGGGCTCAACCACGCTGCACACTGCCGCTTTATGAGAGGCTCATATTGAAAACACCATGTCTGGTCACCAGTAACAATCACTTTGTAAATTTTGTATCACTTTGGGCCGCCCGTAATATGTCTTTGGAGTGTTCCACTCTGGCATGGTTGTCATAGCCTTACAGCGCGTGCGGTACAAACCGCGCATAGACCTTCCGTTTGCCAAAATCCTCGGTCATAATTTGATGCACACTACTTTGGTATTCCCAGAAGCTCCTCGATGAGTCTTGTAGAAACACATCTGTCTGATGCAAGGATTTCGGTCACTTTTTTCAAATTCTCTTCAGTGCGACTTGTTCTCGGCTTTGATGCACGTGGAACGTCTTCAGTGTCATACCTGCCGTCATGAAATACAGCATACAATCGAAAAATGTTCGAGCGACTCAAACAATTACTACCATACACACTTTTCATTATTTCGTATTCTTCTCCGGCTGTTTTGCCCAACTTCAAACAAAATCTGATGTTGGCTCTCTGTTCAACCGCCATTTTTAGACGAGCGTCAGAACAGTACTGTTACATTCAAGGTCAGAACACATGATTCAGCAATGCTTGCGCTTTGAAATTATAGACAGCCACAGCTGAAACTTCAAGAATCTTAACGCCACAACTCGCATTGCAGGGCAAAATTAAAAAAAAAAAAAAAAAAAAAAAGAGTCCTAACGATCCTGGACACGTTGTGTAGGTCAAACAGAACATCAATATGCTTTAAAGTATCATGTAAGGCAGAGGTGATCAACAAGTAACATATGTATATTCTAAAGGGTCCTCACGATGGTGGATGATAGAATTACTCGGTTTTTGGACTTTTCCATCGTCCGGAATTCTAGGTAATACAGGACACGACGTTTCGGAAACTGGATCTTTTCCGTCTTCATTTCTCACCTGAAGACGGAAAAAGATCCAGTTTCCGAAACGTCATATCCTCTATTAGCCTACCTAGAATTCCGGACGATGGAAAAAGTCCAAAAACCCAGTAAGTAACATATACCAAACGTGTCACATCATGACCCTAAGTAAGGTTAGTGACGAGCTCTCGTGAATACAGTAATGAGCATTCGGGGTCGATAAAATGCTGGGAGCGCAGCTGCACTCGTATTTTGACACGGAAAGAGTAGCACATGGTTAAGGATAAAGCTAAGGAATCATTATTAAACGAGTTCCTTGTCATCATGGTGGCACATCGGGTTGCGAGAGTAGGAGACAGCTTCCAAACATGTAGGGTGGCTATGAATGGGTATACTGGATAAGCAGTAACAGACAGTCGATAAGGGGTGGTTCTCCATCTGATTACGGGGAACGTCCTAAAAACAAAGTAAATATTGTACTTCTTCTGACTTATTTTGGACTTCATCCATCGTCTGATATGTAAAAGACGAAAGACCACGACGTTTCGGAGACTGCATCTGTCTCCGTCTTCAGTCCAGTGATTGAGACTAGCTCTTTCTAACGGGACCAACTGAGTAGGTTTATCCTTCCCTACCCACCTGAAGACGGAGACAGATCCAGTCTCCGAAACGTCGTGATCTTTTGTCTTTTACATACCAGACGATGGATGAAGTCCAAAATAAGCTAAAAGAAGTACAGTATACACCATCGTCAGAATCGTTTCAAGTCTACCAAAGTAAATATTATACAACAAATAATATTTTATTATATCATCATGCTATTTTATATAATATATATATAATTCTTACAATGCCATCAATACAAGTATGAGTATCTCTCTCCGTTACCAGTTGTCAATATATAGACGTAAGTGAGAAGTATCAAGTGGGAGGCAGCTTTCCCTTCTTTAATCATCGAGTTTGCCTCTTACTCTTGGCCGCTTTCATTTTTCAAAAAACTGTTCACAAATAGAAGTGCTTCGGAAAAGTCTCGCAGTTCGCCTTGTACGGTCACTAAACACAGAATACTTATCAGCAGGTAAATACAGCTTACAATAGCCAAGGTGTCGAATATGCAGAAACGCATTTAAGTCCGTATCACACTGCAGATCTGTCGTCTCCATTTGATATTCGCACGAAACAGCTTCAACACTGACGCCAAATGACATCGAAAATAATTGAATGAGGCTTCGTATTTGTGGACATGGTGGAACCAGGAACTGAATTTTTTTCCAAGTATTTCTTAGTATTAGTTGGCTTTTAAGTTCTCAGAATTGGGAAATGTGTCCTACTGTTTAATCGCTTTTGTATTCTCACAATTGAAGCCTCATCTCAAACGCCATTATTCTGGAAAACATTTCAGTGACACAGTCATTCGCTCCTTACAGGAGGATGTTCAGTGCCTTCGTGTGCTGAGTGATGTCAGTGTAAAACGCAGAGTCACACGTCCATTCGTAGGCGCACCGTTGAGGAAAGCATTTCCCTTTCATTTCTAGACATAATTCGGGTTCTGACTTCACGTGACATATGCGTTTAAGCATCCGACCACAAACAACAAATGAAATTCATGTTATATTTTAGCGTCCTGTTGCACTGATTTAAGTCCATGATTTATTTAAACCGTCTTGCAGTGCATACACTCATTTATCTCCTTCTTTCCCTCGCACTACATGTTTCGGCATAATAATGCCATCTTCTGGTGCTTACTCATCCACGCCAAACTAGTTCATTGCATGCCTTGTACTGAGTATAACACACGCAGTCACAGGAGCAAGACACAACAAAAGCACAACACACACATGATAGTGAAGGAGTGCTCCATCAGAGGAGAATGGGCGTGACTGGCGTAGTGAGGTGCGACGTAGCGATGTGGTATCCTGAACAATTTTAATATTTTTAACGTTTGACATTTGTCAATGTGTATTATAGATATATATTTTAGTTATTTTAATATGAGGACAAGGCATGCAATGAACTAGTTTGGCGTGGATGAGTAAGCACCTGAAGATGGCATTATTATGCCGAAACATGTAGTGCGAGGGAAAGAAGGAGATAAATGAGTGTATGCACTGCAAGACGGTTTAAATAAATCATGGAAATGAAATTCAGTTCGGTAGAGAACATCTCCGTATTCAGATTCCATATCACTCAAGAAATCTTTATGCGAGTTCCATCGGTAATTTCGTTAATGTTCTCTCCACACACACACACACACACACACACGCACACGCACGCACGCACACACACACACAATGTTCATTAGCTAACTAAGCTGACATCCCAGAGTTGGTATTTGGGTGGCAAAAATAGTTCTGTTTCGGTAACAATGTGTTTACATCTGTAATGAACTAAGCCCAATTCCAGTGACGAATGCAAAATCGCAAAGAACATATTTGGGAAGAACTAGCAATACATTCTACATTGTTTGTTGCCGGGAGACCATATAAAGTTCATTGTTTAAAGCCGTAAGGAAAAAGTATGTATTCATCCATGGCAGTGCATACACAATCTTGTAATATTTGCGCAACAACAACCGTATTGTCACATTCCTACATATCAGAGGACACGCTGAAATGCAGCCTCATGAAACAGACTGAAATCCTGACATTGAAATCCTATGAAATATTTCGATAGTAACATTCTTTTAAAGATAATTGTTCGTCTGTTTAATTAAGAACTCATCATGAAGACGCATGGGAAACTGGAAGTACAACGCCAGAATCTTTGAATTCGGACTTAGATAGAGATGGATGGCCAGCTTCGCGCTTCGACCGCTTTGCTATATAGAAAGAACCCCCAGTACCGTACGCTGAGCTGGTTCCAGAGCCGGTCTGTACCTGGTGTCGAAAAGAAAAATCTCTGGTCCAATCGATAATCAAATTACGGTCGTCCAGCACGTAGCCGAGTCACTATACTGACATAGTTTCTATAGTAACTCTGTTATAAAGGAAAATGTAAATCTTTATAGAATATATTGAAGCTTCTTTTAGGATATTTCAAAGATATCGGCAATTCGTTTTATTCCTCTTCCTAACCATCGCGATTCTCTGAACACATCAGGACAACACCCCGTCCACTTAAAGTTCAGTAATTGCGTTCTCTCGGGAAGGTCGTTGCCGTTTTCTTGTTATTGGAAGGCTGGATGTAACCGTGACAATCACTATACTGGCAGGAAGCATCGTCTGCATTGATCTGGACTGCGATTCGATTGAAAGAAAGGTCACTTTTTAACAGTGGCAGGTAAAAGTAGACAAGCAACATCAAATATACAAATTTTAAGAAACGAAATACTTATATCTGACTGAATCCACTTGGTACCGCTGCCACTACTGACATATTGTACCAGCCCCAGATGATAGATGAGGGTGATTGTGGAGCAATTGGTGGAATGAAGATTGGCAGGGGAAACCGAAATACTCGGAGCAAACCTGCCCAAGTGCCACTTTGTCCAC